CCAGGCGCCTGGGGAGTGCCGGGGCAGGCCTGGGGGCTCGGGGACCACCCCCCAGGAATCACGTTCTGGGGCTCAGCTGGGGAAGGCCGCGGGGCTGTTTGTCCGAGGGAGCAGGTCCTTAGGGAAGCGGTTTGGGAGGAGCAGCCTGACCCGGATCCCGGAGGCCAGTCTCTTCTAAGGGTCCCTCCTCTGGGTCAGGGCTCGAGGTCAGCTTACCCCCCGTCCTTGCTGGACACACCTCGTGCCCTCGGACCCTCTGGGTCCTTGGTCTGTGCTCCGGTCTCCCTCACACGGACGCCCCACCCCTGCCCAGATCCGGAAGACCACGGCCAGCCAGGTGTATGAGACGCTGCTCACCTACAGCGACGTGGTGGGCGCAGACGTCCTGGGCGAGGTCATGGCGGTGCTCAGCGACACGGCCTGGTGAGTGAGCGGAAGGGGACGGGGGCCTCCTGGCATGAAGACATCGGGAGATTTTCAGGGTAGAACTCTCTCTCAGAGACCGTATTTCCTGAGTGGAGGATGCGCTTCGACCCCCACGTGGAGGGAGGCTCTACTCCCTCCTGGGCTGCTGGCCCACCACTGGGGCGGCCCCATCTGCCACCTGAGGCCCAGGGAGCGATGGCTTCTGTGCCCCAAGCAGTGTGCCAGAGTTCACAGGGGCCGAGGGGTACACCACGCCTGCAGCCGCGGGGGATCCTAGAGGGGCCTCAGGCCCTCGCTCCGGTTCCCATGAGGACTGGTTTTGGCAGGTGAAGGTACAGAAGGGACAGTGGTTGGTGCCTGGGGGGACCTGACAGTTTATATTAGTGACTTTTATGAGAAAAACTTGCCCAGTATTTCTCCAAGTATTAATAAATTTAATTTCTATTTTTAATGAGCATGACAAACAGGTGAATTTAAATGAAACTTAAAGAAAACCCTTGAAATAAAGCCAGGCCCCCCCTGCAGCCCTCCTGCTCCGGTGGCTCCTGGCGGATGGTGCCCACTGTCCCCGTCCCGCTGCGGTCCCTGGGGCTAGGCCTCCTCCTGGTACCAACCCGTTTGGGTCCCCGGCAGCAATCGGGCTCAAAGCAGGTAGACGATTTAATCTGCGTGGTGTGGCCTGGCTCCCTGTCGGCTGAGCTGGGCACCATCAGCCCCAGGCTTGGCACTGGGCATTCTGGTCTGAGGGACCCAGGGCCTCCTCTCCTCTCCTCCACAGGGACGCAGACCTCCCGGCTGTGAGGGGGCAGCGGAATCGCCTGTGTGACCTCCTCGGTGTGCCCAGACCCCAGCTGGTCGCCAAGGTAACCCCCAGCACGTGGGGACACAAGACGCCCCTCCCCTGCAGCCGGTGTCCCAAGTGCTCTGCTGCGCCCGGACCTCGGGGTCTCCCAACTGTGGGCCCTGCCTCAGCGGCCAGCCAGCCGTGTCCAGCACTTGCCGCACAGTATCGGCCGTAGGGCGCGTGCACTCCCCGGAGGTGGGACGTGGGAAGTCAACCCCCGGGGGGAGGGCCACACCATAGCCCCTTCTCCATTCTCCCTGGGACCTTGAGCACACACAGGTGCCCCACGCGTTTCAAGCTGCTGGGTCCAGAACTCATACCGGGTCGGCTACCTGGGAGCCCTGCGCCTTCCCCACTGTGCCACCTGCTGGGCCCTCAGCAACCATTCTAGACCAGCCTTGCGCCCCAGGGTCCCCGCTTCTCTGCTCCCTGTGGGCCCTGGATTCAGTTGTCTTTGACACTGTTTCTGTCCCCCCCTTCTCTCCTCGCCTCTCTCCCAACACTGGCGTCCACTGTGCCTGGGCCTCCCCCTTTGCAGAAGCCCCCAGGGACGGCGGGTGCTGGCCTGGTCACTCTCGACGTGGCGGGCGATGTGTCTTGATAGGGCCTCACACACTCCCGTCTGTGTAAAGGCTTAACTCAAAAGTCAGATGCCCGAATTAAAAGCGGCTTTTACATTTTTATTAGAAAACACTTCACGTGTGTGGGAGTGAGGTTAGAGGACAGCATGGCAACCCTCCCCTCCTGCCCAGGTTCAGCCCCGTCATGGCCGCTGGCTCAGGCTGGCCTGACCCTGTCATGTCGCCTCTGCAGCCTGGTGCCCGCTGAAGGTGGTCCTGGGAGCCGGTCCTTGCACCTGCTGTGGGAGCGCCCTGTTCCGGGAGGAGGGCTGGACATGGACGCCCGACGTGGAACACCTGCGTGCTGCGTCCATGGTGTGGGGCCTGGAGCTGGCACCCATTGGTGGTGGCTGCCGACGGCGCCTGCTCTCGAGGGGCCTGGGTGTCCGGTTCTGCCTTTCCTTAAATGTGGTCTGCTGCCCATAAACCACGTCCGAGCAGCTCCTGCCTCTGCCTTGTCATCCCTGGGGTCTGGGGCAGCCTTGCCAGGGGAGCTGCCCGCCAGAGCCCGCGCTGCCAGGCCCCGCCCAGCCGTTCGTGAGGCCGGGCGG